ACTCCAGTCAGTCACCTGCCGAGCAGATTTCCCCCCCTGAAGGTGCAGCCTGAGTGGCTGCATCGGATGGGGATCGACCCACCCCCGGATCGCTTAACTACCGCTTCACCTTCATCTATTCCCCGACCTTGGGCGGATTTGGACAGCATGTGTGATCTGGACGTGATGATATGTTCTATTGATTTGTGATACGCCAATCGTCCTGATCATTCAAGAATCATCACGGCCTTCCTTGTTCATTCTATTGTCTAAGCCTGTGTCCCCCCTCGGCCTTTCCAGAAACTCACTCAAACTTGGGTGCCACAGGCTGGATGCTGAAGAACTTGGCTTGGATGTCCGCCGAATCGGCCTTGCAGTTGCTTCCACCGGTAGCCGTGGCATTGTTGGCGGCTGTAGCATTGCCGCCGGTACAAGTAATAGCCACGGGTGCCGTACCGGATGCCTCATAGTCAGCCGCACTGAAAAGAACGTCAGTTGTTGTATACAATATCGCCATGTCGATTCGTCTTACCCATCTTCACCAGCACATACGCCCTCGATCAGCGTCAGGGACCCATTTTGCCAGATGAAGTTGACACGAGCGTCGTTGCAGCTGTATCTTGGGGTCCTCCCGTCGTCGTTGACGGCCTTGGATGTGGAGTTGAAGAGACAGGATGTGTCTACGGTCGTGCTGTCGTCCAGAAAGCCAAACTCAAACGAGTTCAGTGTCTTGCCGCCGTCAGCCGATTCGGCGAAAAAGTTCTGGATGCTAAATTCGTCGGGTAGCTGGCAGTCGTCCGTGGCCACCAGAGCTGCTATCTCCTGCGGGAGGGAGGCCATGTAGGCTGCCATGGCGTTGGCGGTAGGTGTCGCTGCTAGGAGGAGGTACAGAAGCTGGTTCATGATGTCGAATTTGGCTACCGCTGAGTGGTAGGGATAGCGTGCACAAGTGATGGGAGATGCTGATGTAGGTACCTTAGGTACCTTAGATGTGTATGGAAACGAAAACTATTGATTTTAGACGTGCAGAGTACCTAAGCAGGCATGGAAGGAGAGACCAGCCATTTTTGCCCGCAAGGAAACAATGATTCTTTAAGGGACCAGCGACACCCGCCGTCCCTTGCAGAGGCCGACAGTCGGGAAGAACCTACCGCAAGGCATTGCGCAGATCTGTGATGCAATAGCCCATGAAATGCCCACCTAGTCCCTGTCAGCGTCACTTTTTAAAGCGACGGCCTATCACCATGATGAGTCCAGCAGCGGTCTCCTGGAGATCTCTGGAGCAAAAAAAGTGGGTTATGATGTGTCGCGTTTCGAGACAGCTGGGTCGCTCAGAACAGCCACGCACTAAACCTGTAGATCCCGTCGTGTATGCGTCTCCCGTTACAACATCAACATCAGCCCGATTGGTCTTTATGTCGCTGTTGAGGAGACCCAAAAGAGAGACAAACAGCCAGATAAGGAAGCAGTGCTCAGGGGCTGGGCCACAGTAGGGAAACGGGCTCCAGCAGCCGTTGGGCCCGGCGAACATCAACGAGTGGGTCAAAAACATGGGCGGCTGTTAAGGACACGCAAGACGGTGCAGTGCAGCTGAACGAATGACATCCTGGGGCTTGCTTCTGACAGAAATCATGCCTTTGGGGAAACCCGACCAAAGCCGCCTGCCAGTGCACTGTTGCCTAGCACCAGGACTCACCCGGACCTAATAGTAAGTTGGGCCAGTTGCAGTATTAATCAGTCACATCGTCTCACCTCCGGCCAAAACAACCACATGGTGGTCTGAGAAATCTATCACAGCTTCGGTGATTACGGGGGTTCGTGTTCAGAGTTCTGGATGGTGTCCCGTATAGCAATCATGATTCAATAAAGAGGTGGAAACGGCAAAACCACAGAGCAACGACTTCAGAGGCTGCAGTTCCAGTGCAAGTGGATTGAACGAGGTGGACCCCAAGTTCTACTCGCTAAGCCCAGAGCAAGCATATGCTTATCGATAACAACGCACACAAGAAAACATCGCTACCCTCTATGCCCACGTGACCGCACAAACTGCGAATTTTCGTCCAGGCCCCACCCCCCAGCTGGCCAATTTTCAGATTATCCCGCCGCGTCCCCGAAGTTGACTTTCCCTCTCCTCCCCATCGCCCATCGACAACCGACGACAACATCGCCCAACCCGACGACAACAATGGCGAAGGAACAGTCCACCCGCACCGGCCTTGCCGTCGGCCTCAACAAGGGTCACGTACGTGTCTCACCTCCTGGAGGATCTCTGCATCCGACTCCCTGAGCAACTGTGCTCGCATTTGCAGACGATGGACAACGTAAGGCTGACCAGCCATTCAATCTAACAGAAGACCACCCCTCGCGTCGCTAAGCCCCGCATCTCTTCCCAGAAGGGCCGCATCAGCAAGCGCACCAACTTCGTCCGCGAGGTTGTCCGTGAGGTCTCTGGGTACGTTCAAGCCACACACCATGAGATGGAGAGGCAGGAGGCGGAGGCAGAGGCTTGGGATGAGGCGGCGGTCTGGGAGCAATGATGATGTCAACCAACATTGCTCGCTGACTGCTGTCTGATCGACTGGGCTCTACCTCCAACGTCCCGCGCTCGCTCTGCAAATTGAATCAAGCTCAGATGCTAACGGGTTTCCAGCCTCGCCCCCTACGAGCGCCGCGTTATCGAACTCCTTCGCAACAGCAAGGACAAGCGCGCCCGTAAGCTCGCCAAGAAGAGGGTAAGGTTCCACGACACAACGCCTGCTCTGCACTCGATACTAACACCACAACCAGCTCGGAACCTTCGGCCGCGCCAAGAGCAAGGTCGACGAGCTCCAGCGTGTCATCGCTGAGTCCCGCCGTGCCGCCCACTAAATGCTTTCACGACTCGACGTGGGTTGATCTGGGAAGTTGAATAGGGGCATCTGGGTTTCGGCGTGCGGGCGACAAAATGGCGGCGGTCCTACAGAAGAAAAAAGAGGACCCCTCATGGCATTTTCCTCTGAGGAAAATATAACGGTTTACTGCGGCTTTCACGGAGTGGCGGCTAGCAGGTCATGAGAAATACCAATACCAACGATTTCAGCAAGGAAATTCCAGCTTGCGCCTTCACTTTCTCCCCTTTCATTTATATGCATCGCTTGTGTCTTGCGGTGATCATTCTATGTGCCGTCTCATGATGCCCCATGTTGGCGATGTCTATTTCTTGCCAGGCAACTTGAGCCACTTGGGTAGCTTCTTCCCTGCGCCTCCATCCCCCCGATCGCTGCCTTCTGGTTTGGAGCTCGGTACAACCGGAGCTCGGTCGTCCATCTCCTGCTCCTTGGGCAATTCTGGTACCTTGACTGCCGTCGCGCGCTGCGCAACACTACCCTTCAGGAAAGCCTGTTTTCTCACGTCCCCCGGCACGCTGTCGTCCCACACAAAGTTGACGAGCACGCTGCGCGTCATCTTGTAGTCGTGGATCAGCAGAGTGTTGGGGCCCTGGCTATCCTTGACGACATCCTTGCCTCCCGGCAACACGAGCCGGAACTTTTGTCCGCCATTGGCCATGACGGACCGCACCGCCTCGTAAAGCACAGCGCCGGTCGCCTCAGGACCAAACGCCCATTGAGCTGACGTATTGTCGGGGAAACGAACCTTGACAGGAACGGAGGATACAGAGGCTAGTTTCGCCTCTTCGGCTTGCGCCTTCTCTTCGATCTCCTTGTCCGATGGCAGGCGTTTGTTATGGGAGCTCTGCAGGAGTCGCGCCTGGTGCAGTTGCGCTTGCTGAATGGACGGCGTGAAGTCACTCTCGGACATGGGCATGGCTGCCGCAGCTATTGTCGTGCCTGTGGGCGCTTGAAAGACGCCTACTGGCTGCAACGGGTCTGAAGGCAGGGCGATAGGTGCAGGGTCGACATCCATGGCGTCGCTAAGAGTTTGTTCGGGCTGAGCTGAAGCCGGTTCAGGAACTGAAGCAACCTGCGCTTTCGTTGACTGCTCAGCCGTGCTGTCAGGCTCGGGTTGCGCCACCGTCTCAGGGACGGTAGCCGTAGTTGCGAGCACAGCGGCGACTTCTTTCTCTTCAGCCTCCACGTCCGCAAAGAACTGACTAATCTCCGTCATGGACTCGAACAGCGTTTTGTCGGTCTTTCTGAACGACAGGCGTATCAACACGCTGCCCGAGTTGTACCCCAGCTGGGATAGGGTTTTCTGAAAGTCCGCAAAGGAGGCCAGCTCCCTGCCCATGATGTTGAGGACCGGTGTTTCGTAGAACAGCTGGCCGCTACCAGTCTGGCCACCAGCCGTTGTCTGCGCCACGCCCCGCGCTGTCAGGGTTGAGGTTCTTCCCCTGGCTCGAGACCCGGGTTTCGAATTGGCGCAGAACTTTCCATAATGAGGACTCGCTGGAGAACTTGTCGACAACACGTCCGTTTGGAGTCGCATTGGATTCGGGGGAGGGAAGCTGAAGGGCTACGGATACGGCGGAGGGTGTGTTTGACTTTTGGACGAGCTCAAGCTTTGCGCCGGGGATGAGGCCTGCTTGGCGCCAAAGAACCGAAAGATCGACTTGCTTCTGTTTATGTCTTGGCTTGTCAGCGCGGGGCTGGAGGGCTGTCGAGGATGGACATACTTGAAGAGATACTTGTCGCTGCTGAGGTTGAGCTTCTTGCAAGCCTCTTGGAGAACGTCTGTCATGTATGTTCCAGGGTTGACCTTGACCGTTGTCCGGCGCAAGTCAGTGGCGATGACGGTAACGTGAGACGCCATGATCTGATGCCACTTTTTCTTTGTATTGTTGTCTTTCTTCTCAAGTACCTCAGTGTTGACATTCACCCTGCTAGGAATCAGGAGTTGGACCGTCGTTGCTGGTTGCTTCGCTGTAGGGTCAAGTGGTGCTTGGTGGGGTAGCGGGCGTAGCATAGGTCATCAGCGAACGTGGTACGTTTGATGATGAGGGTCGAACTCGGTGGAACCGGACCGAAGCTCGGCACCCAGGCTTGCGATTTTGTAAGATACAGGTGGTAAACCAACAAGCTGGCATGCACACGAAAGGCCGAAGACACGTAGACTTTCTCGCAGGCCAAAGTCGTGGTCTCGGCGAGAGGGCATATTACCACATTGCGGAGAGACGCAGGCAGCATCTTGTTATCGAGGGATGCGTAAGGCGAACGGGGCTTATCTCAGCGCCCCTGGTTGAGGAGCTCCCACCAATGATAGAGCTCCACAAGAAGACAAGTGGGTCTAAGTCGACCACCGCTGCCGCGCCATGTCGTGTTTGCCTTGCTCTCCAGCTGGCTAATGGATGCAACTGGCATTCGACCTCCCCGACCTTCCCACCCTGCAGCTATCGAATCCATCGTGACGACCTTCCCCGACAGCAGCACCATCACACAACTTGACGATTTCCACGACGTTCCTTCCATCGAATTCTGATACGAGGCTGCCCGACAGCGTTCCCGATCCGATAACAGCTGCAGAGGTCTCCTGACCACAGAGCCAATATGGTATGTCCATCACCGAGCACCCTCAATCCCCTCCCAGAGCTCCAGCTAATCACCCTCCCAGAGCTCCCCCTTCTCCATAAGTCCGTTGAAACCTCCCCTCCCTGGAGTCCTCCCCCTAACAATCTCATCCCAGACGGCGGCGCCTGCGTGGCAATGGTGGGCAAGGACTGCGTCGCGATAGCCTGCGACCTGCGCCTCGGCCTCCAGGCCCTGACCGTGTCCAACAACTTCCCAAAGATCTTCCAGTACGGCGACGTCTTCCTCGGCCTCACGGGCCTTGCCACGGATGTCACCACCGTCGGCGACCTCTTCCGCTACAAGTCCAACATGTACCGTCTCCGCGAGGAGCGCAACATCGCGCCCCGCACCTTTGCGAACCTCGTCTCCTCGTCCCTCTACGAGCGCCGCTTCGGCCCCTACTTTGTCTCCCCCGTCGTCGCCGGCCTCGACCCCAAGACGGGGAAGCCCTTCATCTGCGGCTTCGACTCGATCGGCTGCATCGACTTTGCCAAGGACTTTATCGTCTCCGGCACGGCATCCGAGCAGCTGTTCGGCATGTGCGAGAGCTTGTGGGAGCCTGATCTGGTGAGATTTTCTCCTCCTTGTTGCGGTGCAGCAACTGCAGCGGCGGTCGGGGTATTAATTCGCGTGACTTCCAGGGCCCCGATGAGCTTTTCGAGACCATCTCTCAGTCCCTTCTCAACGCTGTCGATCGCGACGCCCTGTCCGGCTGGGGCGCGCACGTCTACATTATTGAGAAGGACAAGGTTACCAAGAGGCTGCTCAAGGGCAGGCAAGATTAAGGTACTCCGCACAAGCAGCAGGCGGGGGCAGAGCAGAACAGGAGAGCGTGGCAGAACGTTACATCGGTATGCTGGATGGGCAGACAGAGATCCCAGGTTCATCATATGCGCGTGTATCTTGTATCAACAGACCCGGCGTAATGATCAATAGACATGGTCGACACGTCACTGAAATTTGAATCATGACTGGTAATGCAACTGAAGGACATTGTATGTTTTTTCTTTGGACTTTGAACGGCTTTTTTTTTCTAATTCTGGCAATCTGAAACGGCTTATCAAGTCTTTACAGGCAGAGAGCTCGAGGCAAGCAATGTATCTCGCTCTATGGTATGGTACACTTCTCTATCGATCTAGCCCGAAACGACCCTCTACCTTCGTCTTTTATTGGGCCTTCTTTGCCTTGATAGCCTCGACCGTCTTGGTCTGCATGAAGAACGACCTCTCAATCAATTTGAGACCCTCGTCGATAAGACTGGCTTGTGTTAGTAGTGATCAATTAAGCCAAGAACGGGAAAACTTACATGACGGGAGCGCTGATCCAGAGGACAGCCTTCCACTCGATCCAGTTCAACGGCAAGATCGAGAATAGGCTCTGCAGAACCGGTGTGTAGAGCAGGGCGAAATGAAGGGCCATGGACAAAGCAATGGCGTAGACGAGCATCATGTTCTCCCAGAGAGGAAGGGTGAGGAGGGACTCGCTAGAGGACAGCGCGTTGACGGCGTTGAACATTTCGATGACGACGAGGATGGAAAGGGAGACGGTAGAGGCTGACTTGGCCATGTCGTTGGAGAACATTTGGCAGCCAATCTCAGGGAACTGCGTCGAGCAGCGGTGGAAGCTGGAGAGCTGGTTAAAGGTAATCTGCGGGCCCTCTGGGTTGTACATGAACCACCAAGCGTAGCCGGCAACAGTGGCCAGGCCAACGTAAGTGCCGATTACCATGTAGCGGAAGAACAGCCATCCGCCGATAAGGCGTTCGTCACGCTTGCGAGGCTGACGCTTCATGATGTCGTGATCGGGGGGGTTGAACGAAAGGGCGGTGGCAGGGAGACCATCAGTAACGAGGTTGACCCAAAGAAGCTGGACGGGAATCAGAGCCTCGGGCATGCCGAGAGCAGCGGTGAGAAAGATGGAGACAACCTCGCCAATGTTGGATGAGATAAGGTACCGAATGAATTGCTGGGTGTTATTGTAGATGGAACGGCCCTCCTCAATGGCGACCTCGATGGTGGCAAAGTTGTCATCAGCGAGAACCATGTCAGCGGCGAGCTTGGCGACATCAGTGCCGGATCCCATGGCAACACCGATATCAGCCTTCTTCAGAGCAGGGGCATCATTGACGCCGTCACCGGTCATGGCAACAACTTCGCCGGCTTGCTGAAGAAGATCAACGAGCTTGGACTTGTGGCTAGGCTCGACGCGAGAGAACAGAGAAGCGGTGCGGGCAGCCTCAATGGCCTCGCGAGCGGTCAGATTATCAAACTCGCGGCCAGTGAAAGACTTGCCGGTAAGGTCTTCGTTCTCGCCAAAGACGCCGATTTGACGGCAGATGCTCTCAGCGGTGTTGCGGTTGTCTCCAGTGATAACGATGACGCGGATGCCAGCCTCCTTGCACTTGCGGATCGAAGTGGCCACCTCCTCACGAGGAGGGTCCAGCATGCCGACGAGACCAACAAAAGTCATGTTCTGCTCAAGTTCAGCATACTGGGCGGTCGACTTTGCTTTCTTCAGAAGTGCGTTGTTGCCAACGTTCTCAATGCTGGCGAGAGCAATGACACGCATGCCCCGGTTGCCATACTCGACAATTTCCTTGGTGATGAGGTCTTGCGTCTTGCGGTCTAGAGCCTGGCGCTTGCCATCGGCGCCGAGGAGCGTGTGGGAGCAACGTTCAAGGATAGACTCGGGCGCGCCCTTAACAAGAAGCTTCTGCTCCTTGCCGTTCTGGACAACAACTGACATGGACTTGCGGTCACGAGAGAACTCATACGTGGCGAGGCGGCGGTACTGGTTCTCGTAGTGGGCGCTGGCGTGGTGGAGGAAAGCATCAGGGGCTGAGCTAGCGGGGGCGCTGGGACCAAGCTTCTCAACAAGCACGCGGAGAGCACCTTCGGTAGGTTCACCAACGTTGGAATAGGAGTCAGTCTTGGGGTCGTAAGCCAGCTTGGAATCGTTGCAGAGAGCAGCCACCTCAGTGATCTGGCGGACAGTATGGGATGAGCGGGGAAGGTCCTTGACAAGCTGGCCGTTGGAAGTGATGGCACCTTTGGGGCTAAAGGTAGAACCCTCGACATCGAGCTCGATGAGGTCTGTTCCGGACTCATTCAGGTAGACGACCTTGTTGACGCTCATCTGGTTCGTTGTCAGGGTACCGGTCTTGTCAGAGCAGATGACGCTGCAGCTGCCGAGAGTCTCGACTGAAGGCAGGCTGCGGACAACGGCATTCTTGGCGGCCATCTTGCGAGTGCCCAGAGCCAGACAAGTCGTAATGACGACAGCCAGGCCCTCAGGGATGGCGGCGACACCGAGAGACACGGCAATCTTAAGGTAGTAGATAGCACCCTTGGTCCAGGTTCCATGGCTGGGATCGTTGAAGTGGGGGATGTTGATGAGCCAGACGAGGATGCAGATGACGGTAATGACCTTGGCCAGACTGTCGCCGAAATCGTTGAGCTTCTGCTTCAGAGGGGTAGGTTCAGATATTTGGGCAGTGATACTCTCATGGATATCACCGATGGCGGTGCCGGTACCGGTCAGGACGACAACGGCCTTGGCGCGTCCCACAACGACGGTAGTGCCAGAAAAGAGTATGTTGACCTGATCCTGCAACACTGCCTTCTCATCATTGACGACGGCGGTGTGATCCTTGCCGACGCTCTCGCTCTCGCCAGTCAAGATGGCCTGGTCCATGGCGAAAGCATTGCTCTCAATGGCGACAACCCTGCAATCAGCGGGGACACGATCGCCAACGTTGACGGTGATAATATCGCCGGGCACGAGCTCCTCGGCCCTGACACGAGAGACGTGGCCATTGCGGAGAACGTTGGCCTCGTTGGCCGAGTATTCCTGAAGAGCGGCAATGGCCTTCTCGGCACTGCTCTCCTGCGAAACGCCAACGACGGCGTTGAGGATCAGGATGGTGAGGATCTGGGAATACCGGCATGATTAGCGTTGGAAAGTCTTGGTAGGTGGGGGGCGCGGCCCGTGGATTACGTACCACTGCTGGGTCGACGAATGCGCTCCAGCCTTCCTCGTCGTCGAAAAGGGCAAGAACGAAAGAAACAGCAGCCGAGCCCAGGAGGATAATGACGAGCTGGTCCTTGAATTGCTCCAGAATGAGCTCCCAAATGGGTGTGGGGGGTCTCGGGGATCACTGCGAGAGAAGTTGCGTCAGCTGGTTCGCAGAAAGTTCGACAGGCAGAGGCGCGCAAGGTGAAGAAGGAGTGCTCGGGAGAGAAACTTACCATTTCTGCCGTGCTGAGACCGCAGCGAAACGACCTGGTCGTCTTTGAGGCCGGTCTTGACGTCGACATCAAAGTGAGCCAGGACCTCATCGACGGGTTTCGCAAAGGCGTCCTCCATCGCAAAGGCGCGCGCGGGGCGCAGAGTGGCGGCGTTCGGGGAAAGAGGTTCTCCAAAGGATTGATATGGCGGTCGTGCTTGCGCTCAAGTTCTCTCGGTGGGAGGACTGGTGTTGTTGCTTGGGAGAATCAGTTGCCTTGATTCGGGGACTTGGGAAAAAGGTGAAATAAGGACGAAAGTTGAAGAGGCTTTAGACACAAGGCATCTTATTGCGTAGGCAGTGGGGCTAGGAGGCAACGACGGGTCAACGACCATGGGTCTGGGCAACGACAAGAAACACCAAGAGTTTCCACGCAGTTCTTGACCTCCACTACGTAAGGTGTCCTGTTCTGTTGGAGGGGGATGTAGTCTGGCGAGAGAGTCGAGCGCAGGGCCGGCGATCTGAAGTGTCCTGGTTTTTTTGGGTGGTACCGTACCTTGCCTTACAGAATACGTGTTCGTTCACTGGTTTGGCACCGGTTACAGGACCCTTTTTCGCCGTGGGCGTATTGAAAGGAACAGCTAGGGTCGAGCTTGCCCGCTTCTGGTTAGGTTTGGTGCGCATCTAGGCCCAAAATGTGCTGTGCACTGTGTAGCAGGCGTGACCCCCCTTCCCTGAAGGCCCCTTCCAGAAGATCTAGCGGAGACGACTGGCCAGTCAGGGCGTATCCTCAAGGAACGGGCGAACGAGGTTGGTGCCTTTGAACCGCCAGCGGAGGCGAGCGCGGGGCAGTGGCCAATTAGCTGACTCGAGTGTGCGCCAATGCGGAAGTCTTTCCATCTCAATGCTGGTTAACTGTCGGCCTCGCTGATAGATCCCTGACCTGGCCAACACCTGGGGAGGAAAGGTGGAGGAGGTTGGGCTGACTGATCTTGTCTCACGACTGTCATCAGTCATCATGTCGTTCCTCCCCTCCCCTCCAGAATCGCCATGTTCGGTGTACGCCGGCAAAGCAAGCTGGCTGGCGTGGGGGGACTTTACTCGTGGCTCGAGGGTCAAATGTGGCGCGGCTGGGGTTGGCTGGGGTTGGCTGGCCTCAACCCGTGTCCCAGAGTACTTCCCAGGGGACTGTTCGGGACCAGCGCCACATCTCACCCCCATTGGGGACTCCTGGGGGCATGCCCAAGCCTCGTCCCCTCACAACGCTAATAAAGCTAGCTACCTTCCTAGGTACCTAGGTACATTGAGCTGCCCATCTCATCCGAAGCAGCTTAACAGCTTGACGTCGTGATTTTGAGATTTTGACAACATGGCATGACGGAGCTCGGCCCTTTTCTCCATTTCTCCCAGCAGCATGCGATTCTTACATTTAGATCAGCGCGGGAGCTAGATCTCGATGGACCTTGATTAGTTGCCGTCATGTCCTGGTCCCTGGGCCCTGTGGGTTCATGCTTGATGCTCAGTGGCCCCAGCCTGCCGTGTCTCGCCTTCATCTCCCTCCGGTCTCGCGCATCATGGCTTCAGCCATGGGGAGCACTTATGCACGCCTCCTCCTCCAACTCCGACCCGAACACCCCGCTTGTGCAACTCTCTTGTCCCAGCCGGGAGCGCCTGAGGTGAGATGGCCGTAGATCTATGCGTCGTACCAGGCTGAGCCCTCCTGTCGGCCGGCGGCCAGACGAGGCGACGCAGCGTGGGACAATGCTACTGGAGCTCTGGGACCATCTACATATTCCTTGGCCCGGTATTGGCATTGCATGCCGTAGCGGCAAGCATTCCTTGTTGTTGATCCCCAAGCACATTCGTCAACAAGCAACCCCTAAGACCGATTCGCTCGCAAGTCGCACTGGTGAGTGGTCACAGCAGTTCCGACGCTGTGGTATCACCTCCACTTGCAGCTTTTAGTCTCGAGATACGGCTTCGATCGAGGCGAAGCTAGGAGACCTTAATTCCCGAGAGCAGAAACGCAACAATCGCTTCATCGCATGGCGACCGAAGTCGAGGCCATGTCGCCCCTCGAGACGGATCCTTTTCAAAGACAACAGGAGCTGGCCTCTTGAAAGTCGGTGTATTACTGTGCGTGCCCCAGACATGATTCTTCCCTGCCAACTCGACTGTCTGAATCTACTGCTGCTTTTTTCTTTCCTTCTCGCTTCTTCTGCCTGCCTCAACCCACTTATGCGCCCCGGTGAGACGCAATCTCATACTGAGCGTGAGTCGAAAACACCCACGCAGGGTAGGAAGGCGTCATTCACCTTCGCCTGCCCAGGTCCAGATCTTGTCCTATCTCACCGTACTTGCTGTATTCTGGCCAACACATACCAGCTCTTGATCTCCATCCTTCCGTTCCGCCCTTCCTCCTTCCTGCCTTCCCACCTTCTCTGTCCGGCCCAAGGCTGCCTGACAGTTGCCCGACCTGTACATCTGCATCAACTCCAATTACCGCCGTCTTACCTCCCGCCTTGGCGTCGTCAAACCTTGGAGAATCTCAACTTTCAAGCAGCTGCTTGCGCGAGACGCCAGATGGTCAGAGTAGCTTTGCGACCTTCATTCTGCTACCGCGACAGCATGTATTGAGTTCGCCAAACAGGATCTCAATCTTTTTGGTATCCTGGAGTTTGATCTGCATCTTACTCACTGTTTTCTTGGATTTGGCCATTGTCCGTGAGCCCACTATGGCGCTTGTCGACGCTCCCTCCCTGGCCTCTTGTTCAGACTCGTCCCTCCGTATCGCCCTCCAGCCCGAACCGACGAGGCCTGTTCCTTATCCGCCGCGTCACATCGATTTCGCCAGTGACCTGGATGAATCCTTCGATCATGTCGAGCTCTCGTCTTACTTGGATGGCTTGCACATTGAGGGCATCGACGTCTTGAACACCTTGGATAGCATGACAGCTTTCGGTATTCCTCTCCACGACAACGACATGCGCCACTCCGTCGGTGCCAGCCCGTACTCATTGCCACCCAATGCACAGGCCATGTGCCTGCGCGGGCTCAAGCAACGATCGGTTACTTGAGGACGGCGTTCCCTTCCGCAAGTGGATGAAAGCCCTGCACCGTCGAGCCAGGCACCGTGCCGATTCGGTTGACAACGGCCACGACACGTCCGGAGATCCTTCCAGCCCTGTCTGCTGACGCACAGTCTCAGAGGCCCATCACAGGTCTTCGTCTCGGCTCGTCTTCGATTT